GCTATGAGATGACTTGTTGTTGTAAATATGTGCTATACAAATAAATTGAATTGAATTGAATTGAAATTGTTTCATCTTTTTTTTTCAGACCACATCATCAGCTCTGAAAGGTGCCATCCAGTTAGGCATCACGCACACAGTCGGCAGCTTAAGTCAAAAACCCGAGAGAGACGTGCTGTTGCAGGACTTTGAGGTGGTGGAGAGCATTTTCTTTCCCTGGTGAGTCTTGAAGAAAGGCTATGTTGTACAGAGAAGTAAACCTTTATTTTATCTGTTTGTCTTTATAACTTGTCCCTCGTCTGTCTTTTCTGGCAGCGAGGGCAGCAACCTGACGCCAGCCCACCACTATGGAGACTTCAGGTTCAAAACGTACGCACCAATCGCCTTTCGCTACTTCAGAGAGATGTTTGGCATCCGGCCTGATGACTACATGGTAAAGTCGTTTACTCAGCATCTGTTGTGCTCAGAAAATGAGTCAAAAGTTCCTCGAGAAAGGGAAAGCGTTGAAAACTGTGAGAAAAAGGGAATGATTGAGTAACCGGAAAGACTGAGACTAGGGAAGTGTGAATAATGGAGTGTTGCCACAGGAGAGGTGAAGCTGCTGGCGACAGATTTTCCTGTTTTCTGACCCTGTTGTTTGGTTTTATTAACCGTTGGCGTTCTGGACTCTCTCCAGTACTCTCTGTGTAACGAGTCGCTGATTGAACTGTCGAACTCTGGAGCCAGCGGTTCTCTCTTCTACGTGTCCAGTGATGACGAGTACATCATCAAGACGGTGCAGCACAAAGAGGCTGAATTCCTACAGAAGCTCCTGCCAGGATACTTTATGGTAAGATCTGATCGTATCTGCAGAAAAAATTTGAACACGACTGTCCCACACAATAAATCTGTGTAAATTTGACTCAAATCTAGCAAATGTCTTGGAAGCTACTGATGGTGTGACGGTGAAACTTTGGAAACTGTGCATCTACAGATAATTTTTTTTTGGATTAACAGTTAGTGGATTGCAATGATTTGATTTTCCTTCTTTTTTATATATATGAGCATAAACTAATTTGCTTTTAGACTTTAAACTGTTGATTCAACAAAACAAACAATCTGAATGTGTCATCGTGGGCTCACAGAAATTAAAATTTTCATTATTTTCTGACATATCGTAGGCAAAATGATCAATCAGGAGAATAACTAAACTAATCATGATTTCCACCACGGAATCGAACCACCTTTATTGACCATTTTTGGGATAGCACTCTCTAGCCAGGTATTGGAGCTGCATTATTTGCCCAACTGTGCCTCATTTGCACGCATAAGACACAAAAACTACCACCATGTTTTTGCATTTTCAAAATTTGACAGTCGGTCTACAATGGCACCTCCAGACGCTTTGGTTACTGACTGCATGGTTAGTTCTAGCTTGTTTATTTCCTTTTGCTGTCAGTTCACTTACACTAATAGTTTTAATTTTGCTTTACCTTCCTCCTTCCGTCCATCATCTCTGTTCTTGCTCAGAACCTGAACCAGAACAAGCGGACCTTACTACCGAAGTTCTACGGGCTGTACTGTGTCCAGGCAGGCGGTAAAAACATCCGCATTGCGGTCATGAACAATTTGCTACCGAGTGCTGTGCGAATGCACCTCAAGTACGATCTAAAGGGTTCCACCTACAAGCGACGGGCCTCGGCTAAAGAGAGAGACAAGGCTGTTCCCACCTACAAGGACCTGGACTTCATGCAGGACATGCCCGACGGGCTGCGGCTGGAGGCGGACAAGTACAGCGCTGTTTGCAAGACCATCCAGAGAGACTGTCTGGTGAGTTAAGACCTACAGAAAGATGAGTCTACAAGTATTAGATTTTAATGTAAGTAAAGTTACAAGAAACACATACGGTGTAGGTCTTTTTTTCTCTAATTCATTAATAATTCAATCACTGTTCTCACCGTACTCTTTGATTTCTATTCAGCTCATGCAGAGTTTCAAGATTATGGACTACAGCCTTCTGGTGGGAATTCATAATTTAGATCAGGCCTGTCGAGAGCAGGCGAGTGAAGAGGTGCTGGCCGGAGCTGGGGCCGGGGCTGGAGCCGGAGCTGGAGCCGGAGCCATGGACCAAAGGAGGCCGCAGGGCCAGAAGTCCTTGTACAGCACCGCGATAGAGGCCATTCAGGCAGATACAGGCAGCATGGGGTCGCTGGACACGGAGGACAAGTGAGTGACAATGTCGAATCAAATCAAATCAAATCAAGTTAATTGTCATTTTGCTGTACATACACAGTAGTACAGGCAAGATGTGCGAGTGTTTCTTCAGGATCAAAAAACTAAAAGCAATTAAATAAACAAGTGTTTGCATATCTGGATCAGCAATTCAGCATTCTGACAGCTTGTGGAATGAAGCTGTTGATCAGTCTGGAGGTTCTTCCTTTAATACTCCGGAAACGTTTGCCTGATGGCAGCAGTTCAAACAGTTTCTGGAGAGGGTGTGAGGAGTCCCTGACAATGTTCAGGGTCCTGCTCCTGCAGCGGTTCTGGAGAAGTTCAGAGCTAGCTGTCTGTCTGTCCACCCGGAATAATGTCGTCCTCTCCAGCTGTATGTTCGTCTGGGATGTTGTCATGGAGCCATGTTTCTGTTGAAGCAAATACACAGCAGTCCCTCCACTCCAGCTTGTGTCTTTAAACTTAAAATAGTCTTGTATAGGACAGCTTCTAACTTTCAGTTTCTGTCACCACGGTGACCAGTGACGGCACTGACTTTGTTTTATTTTACAGAACGGGAGGAATCCCTGCACGGAACTCAAAAGGCGAGAGGCTGCTGGTTTACATCGGTATCATCGACATTCTGCAGTCCTACAGGTAAGAGAGCACGTTGTTATAAGCTACTGTGTTTTCTGTGCAGTACAGCAAAGTAATAATGCAGGAAAAATTTTAAAAACCTGGAATCAGCATGTCCAACATTTGTCCAAGTGCCCACAGATGTTACCAGTGGTGCACTACCATTGATTTTAATGTGTTTCTGTATTTGTCTCCTATCTTCTCTGTGTAAACGAAGCCTGCAGTGCAACCGAGAAGCCCTTGAATTTAGGTTACATGACTGTTGGTCGCACCTGAGAAACTAGTGGCTCAACGGTTGCACTGAAGTCCACAGAATTATTGTTTGTACCAAATGTGGTTACTGCAGTTTATTTTGGCACATTTTGAAATGAGCCATGACGTAATTTTAGAATAAATATTGCGATTGTAAGCTTAGTTTTGGATCGTTGTCTTGATGGAACAGCACATGTCAGACAAGAAGTTTAAGGACGGTCAGAAAGTAGAAATCCTTCCTGTTTTTACAGCCTGTGGTTCTGATAAACGGTCTAATTTTGGCCCTTTATTTTTAAGATAACATGCTGTTCAGACACTCTGGTGGGCTTTGGGGTTCAGAGGGTTAAAACAGGAATGCGTCTGTTCCATCAAGCACACGAGACAAACAGGAAAAACCGGATTCACGCAACATGAATGAATCTGTACAAGAACGGCTGCAGCGCCGGATCCAGAGCTCGACTCCATTCATTCTGCCAAAGCCGCAGCGATTAGTTTAATGTTCCTGCTGCCAGTGGGTTATGTGAATGTACACGTCTGATTATCTAACTGCCGTGATCAAGCTGGGCTGTTGTTTTTCAGATTAGTAAAGAGGCTCGAACACTCCTGGAAAGCTCTGGTTCATGATGGGGTAAGGGACCTCTACTAGCCTGTTTGATTTAAGGTTTTTAAAAAACAAATCAGACGTTAAGTTGTCATCACTGTTTTTCTTCAGGACACTGTATCAGTACACAGACCAGGTTTCTACGCAGAACGATTCCAGAAATTCATGTGCAATACAGTCTTCAGGAAGATTTCATGTGAGTGTTGATGTGAGCGTCGATACATCCTGTCGGCTTCACTGCATGAACATTTAAGTAACACTTTCTGTCTTGTATCTAGCAAAACCCTCCCCGTGTAAGAAGCGCCGTGCACTGACCCACGGTCCTCCCAAGAGAACAGGCGGGCCTCCTCTGTCGACCCAAACCAGCAGCACCAGCAACCCGCTGCCTTTACTCCAACATCAGGTCAGCTCTGACACCAGAGAAGACGCTGATGCAGACAATGGTAAGAAGTGGGAAAAGAAGAATACAGGCTTCAGCTGTAGTGTAGGAAACAAGTTATGTTCACTGATAACTGCACAGATTCAATCTCCCTGCATGTACCAACATGTGAAGCCCTTTGCAACGCAGCATTAAGAGGTTTTCTCCTCCTCCCACCCAGTCATGCCATCAGGTCGTCCTGACCTCCTCCCAAAGACCTTACTGCCCAGCGATTTTGTTGGCAACGCTTCTGAAGCCGCCGAGTCTTCCTCCTTGGGAAACCCTGAATCTGCTCCCACAAGTCAGCCTCTGCCGCCTCCTTCTCAGGATCCCTCCAGATCAGTGGAAGTGGCTTTAAACAACTCATTGAGCAAAGACCAGGAGCACAGCACCCCCAAGAGGTGAGGGGGAAAGAACACATGAGTGGGGTAAAGTTAGAAGAACACAGTTCAATAAACACCATGACGATAAAGCTGAACCACTCCTCTAATGTGTTAAAACCTTCATAGAGGTGAGATTCCTTACATGTCAACAATTTCAACCCTTACAAATAAACAAATATATAAAAGTCTGTTTTTACATTTTGGGCTGATTTGCACCACCACTACAACAACAAGTACACAGACTTCTGAATCTAGAGGAAAATGTGATTCAGCAGACATCATGAAAAGCTAGAATTTGATGTTCCAAATGTAACTTTTTTTTTTTTTTTCCTTTAATATAAAGAAGTTTTCCTGAAGTTCCTGTCAGACTGTGTACACACATTTATTGACTTTGCTGATGCTAAATTGCCTGTAACTAAATGCAACTCCTTTGGTAAACCTGCCGATATGCAGAGTGGGAATGAAGACGGTCTGAGCTCATGAGCCAAAGACAAAAATGTCCCTGAACCGGAACCTCAGGAAAATCAGCATCTGTCGGGGCAGTGCTGCAGTTTGACCGGCTGGAGGCAAAAACATGTCATGAAAATACATTTAAACCAAGTTTTTTTCAGAGAAAGCTCGTAAATGTGGTGGAAGAACTCAGTAAATATTTAGTCGATGTGTTTTTCCACATACCAGTGTTTCATATTGTGTAACGGTTTAACTCTTGTGGATTTTTTTAGAGCTCAGTTTGGGACTCTTGAAGAAAGTGTCGGTTCTGCGGATGTGATCTCACTCAGTGACATAATTCCTAACGCAAGCAAATGTGCTGTAAGTTGCTTGCTTCACTTCCTTCTGTCGTGATTTCTACTCGTGTTCGGTGTTTTAATCAGCTCCGTTCCTTTTGGTTTACAGGTGTAGATGTGGGACCTGAACTCAAACGCACCAAAACTAAACCCGGAGGACGATCTGAACTAGAATGTTTCCACGCCCTTGGTGTGATTTGAGGTACCAGAATTAAAACAAAGGTTATGCAGCACATCATTGAGATTTGTATGAGATGATTTTTTTTTCTTGTTTTATTTTATTTTTTTTGCACTTTATTTTCCAAATCTCAACATGGTATGTAAGTAGGCGGTTGTGTTCTGACACTAGTAATTGCAGGTACATTAGTGCTGTGGTCACAGAACACTATTATTCATCTCATAGAAATGCCTGTATTCATCACCAAAGATTGTTTTTGTCACTGAACTGAGCTCAGTTAAGCCAGCGTTCAGTGTAAAGTGTAACACAAAGTCTTATTTGAGAACAGATTTTTTTTAATTGAAGCCTAGTTATTTCAAATTCATTGTCCTTTTTGGAATTAATTCCTGTGTTGCTGTAGCACAGCCTCATGCAAGCATCTGTCCGTCACAGAGAGGCCTTGAGTCCAGAGTACTGTTTCTGCTACATGTTTGAACACTTTAACACAAAGCCATGTTCTATGGACGTTTTAAATAAAAGATTTTCTTTTTAAAGAAATTACTGTACATATATATATATATATGTGGTTGGTAAGCTCCCCTTTTTTTTCTTTCTTTTTTTTTTTTTTTTTTTTTTTTCTTTCTTTTTTTTTTTTTTAAAGCTTACTTTCATCATGCTGGAAAAACACTTTTCATTTGACCAAATGTTCTAATGGACCAGTACCGCTTTAGAGACTGTGAATTCTAAATGTCACCACTAATGTTCTGGTCAAAGGAAGTTTAAAATCTATATATATATATGTGTATATATGGTCTGATGTCAGTTTCAGATGTAGTGTGTAGACCGGCTGACGGCCAAACGTGACTGATGTCGATACTCAGACGGCTGTTGACAAACCGCCATGATTAATAGCGACCCGGGGCCTGTCTCATGAAGCAACACTAGTGAGTTGCTCGGCCGTGTTTTGGAGCGAGCTGCTGCGATAGTGACTAATACCGCCGACCAAACCTACAAATAGCAGATTCTATTTAGGCTTGCGAATTAAAAATATACAAAAATACCCCAGAATTATAAGAACCACATCCTCGTTAATCAAATACTAAAGAGCATGTCATGATATTATTGCAAACCGGTACAATCACTTTGTTTTCATTCTAGTTTATGGTATTGAATTATAGTAGTGAAGTAGTAGTGAAGCATTTATCCAGCGTCCCACTCTAGCAACAAACAACAAAGCTATTGAAGTTCCTTTATAGTGTCAATGCTAATTAAAGTTCACTATTGCATATCAATAGCGCTGCTTTCTTTTTCTGGAGAACAATAGGTGTTTTTTTGGTTTTTTTTAGATTAAAAAATCCAGAATATGTTGAGTACTCCTGTCTAAAGGTAACACAGCCTAGTTCAAGGTTCCTGCAATAACTTTGACCTTAACGAAGGCTGTAATGTTCAGTTTTTATTGAAACTGTTTTTAGAGAGTTTGTAAGTTCATCTGATAATTTGGAGGCAGTTTGAGCAGTTTTATTGTGTTTGAATCCTTTTGTCCACATCAGTGAGGCTAAATACAAGAACTGCAACCGAGCGTGTTTAACAAAGACACCAGTCTGCATTAATGTCATCCAGACCAGCTGCAGGTTCAGGCCTGCACATACAAACATGCTGATGTGTACCAGACACTGCAGCGGTTGAGACACGGCGCCCCCTGGCAGCCGATTTATGATAGGATTTTACAACAACCAAGGCAGAGGCACGTTTTCGGTGCCTTTTGATCGTCTGTCAGCATGATTAGAGAAAAAAATAAAAATAAGAAACTCCTGAAACTCTGTAGAGAGGTGGAGCATGGGCAAAGAAAGAACCTCTGAAGTTCGGAGTTAATCTGGATCAGATTTTTTAAAACTGCAAGATAAGACGTTGGCCTTGGCAGAGGAGTGTTTGATGTTTTAAAGATAGTATTTCTGTGTCTACCACATTATATTTTACATTTAACCCCACAGAATGTTTTATAAACTGTAAAATGTATCGCAGAATAGAAGGACTGGGTGATCGTCTGTCCTGCTTTCAAAGTGCTGCAGTGGGACGTGTCAGAACTAGAAAAGGAAATAAGAAATGTAGGTAGTTTGCTGCTGAAAATCTGAGCTGAAAACTTAGATGTTTCCACGTTTTCTTTAAGTATTTTAGTCACGCTTTTCCACTATTTGCTGCTACGTGTAAACTCAGCATGAACTAGATTGCAACCTAATATGAAAGCTTACATATTCTCAGACTGATTTTTGATGTGTTGCTTTTAGCGTTTGATTTTTAATGCATTTCTATTCTTGCTTTTTAAATTGTGTTCTTGCATTTCCTGAACATTACTTGTAATGTTACCCAGAGAACTCAGTGGTTATTCTCATCCTAATATAACCTTTGTTGCTGCGACTCCCCACAGGAATGAGCATTTTCACGACTAACATTTTGTTGTTGATTTGCTGATGTTGCATGTGTGATTACAAACTTTGCCTCTCTCACCTGCACGAGGTCTTATTTAGGCCAGTTAAGTTGGGTAACGGAACCAGTTGTGTTGGTTTTGTAAGACGAGGTTTTCCAGTGTTAAGTGTAATGTGGCTGATAGCTTGCAGAGAGATTTTTGAGACAGGCCCCGACTATTTTTCACTGGGAAAACGTGGCGATGGCTGCTTGGTGTGAACAAGACTAAACAGTTCTTGATGTTGTGGTTGGATCACATTTGATTGTTTAATATTTGAAAATGCAGAAATGACCGCATTTTTTTTAAAAAAAGAGCATTTACAAGATGCATTTACTATGCAGCAAAATTCTTTGTTTACAGCAAATGTACCTAAATTAACAAACTGTGCAATATATATAGAATTATTTGACATTTTCCAACCAATATGCATTATTTGGGCGATTTATACGACCTGTAAATGATTTGTATGGATCATTTCGGCTGATCATCAAACTGTCCCATGATCAACATTGAAAGTGAAACTGTGCCTTATTGTGAAAACACCGAAACACACGCAGCCCATGAACCAAACCTGTAAATAGTCGTATTTATTATAGTATTTATTGCTGTATGTATAGCTCCGGTTTCTAAAAATGTGTCTTAATGGTGACGATGAATTGAATACAAACATGTATCTGAGGTTAATGACTGTTAAAGGGTTAAAAAAAATGTCTTCTGTGATTTGTATTTGTATTATAACAACTGTTAAATCATCCTGTGTTGTTTTTTTTCCTGTAATTTGTCTTTTCTTGCCTTTGAATTGTGTAAATGTTTACACATCTACGTATATTATGCAAGAATCATATGAATTTACAAGTTTTTTTTTCTCTGTCTTGCTCTTTTGGGGATTTCATGTTTTGTACACTTGGACCTGAAATTATTAAAGAAAAAAAAAAAAGACATACTGCTTTTGTTTATTATGTTGCATTAAACAGATGTTTAGTATTTTATGTCTCTATTAAAGTAAATCATAATGATGACACATAGTGTAAGACAAACAATCATCTGGTATGTTTTTAAATTAGGTAGTTGTTCTGTTTTATATTTCTTGGTGTATTACATCCTTGTAATCACTGGATTAATGCTAGTTTTTGCTTTGACACAATTAATCAGGTACATAAAGTGTAAGTCTCACCAAAAGAGGACCATCTGCTGTTTCATAAAGAGCTTTCATGTTGATTACTAAGACATTTCATAATATCAGAATTAAACGTAATACAATGCTAGTCTGTATTTGCACAATACACACAGAGGAAACCAGTGAGAGGAAGCTTAATACCCGAGAAAACAGCTACTAAGTTGGTTTTCTTTTTTACTACATTCACAGGTATCTCCATGGCAACTCAGCATTTTTATTTTCTATTGAAATTTTTATTTCATTCAAAGAATTAAAACAATGAAACATGACACAAACATTCCTAACTCCTGAATGAAAGGGAGCAGAAGGACGAATAATCTGATGTTATGTGCTCCCTTTACCCAAAGAAATACATTTACAAAAAAACTTAAATTACAAAAATCATCAACAACAACACAATACACATAAAAATATTCATAACAAAGACAGTAATAATAACATGAAATAGCTGTCCTTTAAAGCTGACAGTCATGTTTTACTGTAGGTGCATTTTCTTAAATACTCTTAAAGAAAAGAAAGAAAGAAAGAAAAAAAACAGAAAATTTGACATGATTATTTACTTGTCTTTGCAATCAGAGATAATTAACATAAAGTAACAGTAAAAGCATTAGTGTCTGCTTTGGGAGGTAACATTACTATAAATATAATTTTAAAATAAAAATACAAACTGTAAAAGTTTAGGGACAAACAAGTCCAGTCAGGTGATCTTGAGTGATTTTTATAGTACTGTATGCAATTTGTCACCAAATTGAAGGGGACGGCTCTTGACCAATCAGATTCCGCTTTGTACAGTCTTCGTCCAATAGGCTGTCAGCTTGTAAGATTACGACAGAGAGCAACAAGAAGTTTCCAAAATGGGGCTTGAAAGTACTATGGTCTGGTAAGAACTCTACAAATATCTCTTTTATATAGTTTTTGGTCTGTCGGCGGCTCATACGAAGAAGTAGTTGTTCGTTTCTCGATGAGGTCGTTCTTGGCCGTGAATGTGGAGAAAATGTCCCCGCCTGCGAGGATGATAATTCCCGGTTGACGGTTAGCCGGATAGCGTAGTGTCGACCGGCTGAGTCATTGTAGCTAAAGTTAGCTTAGATTTTGCTGCTTTAATAAAGTATTTGTTTAACTGTAACACATACGAACACATTCCTAGGCGTTACTGTTTGTAATTTGCCATTTGCTCTCTAAATTATCCACTGACAACACCCGTGATTTGATTGTCACGAGCAGCGGTGTTATCACCGCTGGCTAACGTTAGCAAGTCGTGCTAGGTAGTTACTACAGCAAACCGCTTGTAGTGATCGGTTTACTGCTTCCTCGGTGTAAAAGACGGACATTCCCTCACAAAACTGACCGTAAAAAGTGACTGAGACGTCTCACAAATGCCAACTTATCCACAAGGCCTAACTAGGTGATAATGGGAGTCATATGTCAGCGGCTAACTAGCTGGTTAGCTCAGTGATGCTCTAGAGCCACGTTAACTGATGTTTTCTCCTCAGTGTGGACAACAGCGAATACATGAGAAATGGAGACTTTCTACCAACGAGGCTACAGGCTCAACAAGATGCTGTCAACATCGTTTGCCACTCAAAAACACGCAGCAATCCAGAAAACAATGTGGGCCTCATCACTATGGCAAAGTAAGCATTTCTCTGGACAAAGACAAACAAAGATTATCTGACATGTTGATAGTGAGTCATTACTTCATCGCTCAGCTATTTCCTTTGTGCACGGTTGCTGATAATAACTAACTGTGTGTCGTCTTCATGTTTTCCTGCAGCAACTGTGAGGTCCTGACCACACTGACACCAGACACCGGCCGCATCCTGTCCAAACTCCACGCTGTCCAGCCCAAAGGAAAGATCTGCTTCTGCACGGGCATCAGAGTGGCTCATGTGTGTAATCTGTGGTTTCAGAGTCTGGAGTCTGCCTAGTAATTGCTCGGTTGGTAAAAAGAGGTTTTGCTCTGTGCAGCAGCGTTTTTGAACATCTGTGTGTTTGTCTTTCCTCTGTAGCTGGCCCTAAAGCACAGACAAGGAAAAAACCACAAGATGAGGATCATTGCTTTTGTTGGGAGTCCCGTGGAGGATAATGAAAAAGACGTGAGTTTAAAGTAGTGCCAATCCCACGGAGAGAGATGTTGTTCTGCTACACAGTGTATGTGATGGCTTTAGCCTCTCCTGCTGTCTAAACCGTTCTTCATTTCTTCCGTCTTCTTTTCCAACCTGCTGATTCTGCAGCTTGTCAAGTTGGCGAAGCGCTTGAAAAAAGAGAAAGTGAATGTGGATATCATCAACTTTGGAGAAGAGGTAAGACATTTTCAGTTTGTCCCGCGCTGTACTGCTTTAATGCCGAGTAACTTAAAGTTTAATATTTTGTCTTCTTCAATTCCATGTGTTCCGTTCATAATCAGAACGTTAAATTGTCCTCGTTGTCTGTCTCCAACTCTTTATGCAGGAGGTGAACACAGAAAAGCTGACTGCTTTTATAAACACTCTAAATGGAAAGGAGGGCACAGGCTCCCACCTGGTCACAGTCCCTCCAGGGCCCAGTCTGGCTGACGCGCTGCTGTCCTCCCCCATCCTGGCTGGAGAAGGCGGTTCTATGATGGGTCTCGGTGCCAGTGACTTTGAATTTGGTGTGGATCCCAGTGCAGATCCAGAGCTTGCCCTGGTAAGCAATATCTACATGTATGTCAAGTGCTAGGTAATGTGGCAAATATGTATTTAACTTTAGAGAGAAGTGTCGATTGTCTTCTGAAGCAAAACTGCTTGTTTGTTATGATGCCACCAAAAAAAGTGAAAACTCTGTTATTACCTGGTAACGTCACGAGTGAAAACATAGTGCTGTGTTTTCACTTTTTGATGACGGCATAACAAAACACATGTGATTGTCTCTCAAATTAAATAATAGGGCGTCGCTGTAGCTCACCTGGTTGAGCTGGCGTCCCTTATTCAGGGGCTATAGTCCCCAACGCAGCAGTCGTGGGTTCAACTCCCGCTCATGACCCTTTGTTACAGGTCCTTCCTCCATTCTTCTACCTCCACTTTCCTGTCTCTCTCTGTTCTTTCTAATAAAGCCAAAACAGGCCAAGAGATATCTTTAAAATTAAATAATACACGCAGTCGTACAGATACAGAGAACACTCAAAAGCATATCGGGTGCTGCATTCAGGATATACCTCTGCTAACACCAGAGGACGTGGTGTTAAAATGTACAGTAATAAACGTAATGCTGCATAGTAGAGTATTTAAAAGAGCAACACATAAATGCAAGGCTTTTCAAGGCTCAAATGTCATTGCTGCAAAGAGTGGCCTTGGTAGAGACGACAGTGAGACTATGGGTGTCCTTGAAACAGGCCAAGAATGCAAAGGACAGCTGCTCGTCTCTGTTTTCCACTAAACTTGTTCATTTGTTTATATTGGGGAAAAAAGATGACAGCATTTTTGGTGGTGTTTCTGCTATAGTGGATGCTTAAAACCAACCATTTTTCTGCAAAAGAGCTTCAGTACTATCTCTTGAATTTCCTTTGTATTTTTACATCTTGTCCTTGAAACAAGCGTGTATCATGCTGCTTTAGACTGTACTCCCACATTTAGCTGAATTTAGTCGAGTCTCAAGTACTCGGTGAATCGCTTTGCCGGAATAAAAAGAGTAACTATTTAGATTTGGAGAGCAGGGATGACCTTCGCCTTTGTTTCTCACGGTGCTGCCTCTGTGCTCTGCTTCAGGCTCTGCGTGTATCGATGGAGGAGCAGCGACAGAGGCAGGAAGAAGAGGCCCGCAGAGCTGCTGCTGCCTCTGCAGCCGAGGCAGGCATGCCCACACCCAGCGCAGATGGTAACCGGACGACTGGCAAATGGTTGCTTTCACTTAGAAGACAACACAGATTGTATTTATGCGTTAGGATTTGACTGATTTGTATTTTTATCTCAGAATCAGAGGAGGCCTTGTTGAAGATGTCGGTATCTCAGCCTGAGAGCGGTACAGCAGTGCTTCCTGACTTCAGCAGCATGACGGAGGAGGAGCAGATAGCCTACGCCATGCAGATGTCTCTTGCTGGAGGAGGTGAGTTTTTATTTGATTGTCAGACAAAGTGTATGCTGTACTGCCACTTACAGTCACGCTTGTGTTTTCTGATGTGTCTGATGATTAAGCGCTCTCTCATTTGTGAACAGAGTACGGTGAAATGGACGCAGGAGCCCCCATGGACACCGCAGAGTCAGCCAAGGTGAGCCATTACATCATGATGTAAACTGACCTGCCAAAACAAACAACTGTTATTTTTTTAGGAATAATGTGGGCTGAGTGGCAGTTAGAGCACTTTTAAGGCCTGGATGGCCATGAAATTCTTCAGTTATTGGTATAAAAGATGAACAGCCTTATTAGAAAGAATGACTTCTCAAAAGTCACTTTACAAGTTGACAAATGCAAGAAGATTTCCAAGTCTTTCGATGATAAACATCCAGTCAGCAAGCTTTAAAGAATGTGTGCTGATCCTAAGTAGAAACCAGGGTTTTTCTTGTCTCATTATGGCCCTTTAGGAAGTAACTGTGCTTGATAATAAGCACAATTGATCCACATCCAGTAAAGGCAGTGTGTCTTTGTCACCATATTTGACAGAAATGTTTGCATTTTGCTGCTTTATGGCCATTTTATAAACAAAAACACATGTTATGCTTGAGTATATGTAAATCCAAGGCACAAAACTGGGACAAAAAAACTATTTGTTCACCATTTTCACCATTTTGCTGTTGGGAATTTTTCCTTCGGTGCTGCCTAAAACCTGCTTGTGGGCCACCAAAATTTCTCTTAGCAGGAAAAACTCCAAAGCTAATGATCCTTTATGCTGTACAGGAATTCTGGATGATTTAGGCCTTAGGTATTTTGGGTTTGTTGATCCTTGCCAGCTTTTCGTGTGTATTTAGAGCAAGCTTTATTATCAGAATCAGAAACAGATTTATTGCCAGGTACAGTTTACACAATATGAGGAATTTGTTCCGGTGGGCTGGTGCAATAATAAATATAGAGTAATTATGGAGCCGATTGGTGAAAAAACATGATTTCTCACCATAAAGAAGAAATATTTCAACCTAATGACCACAACAGAGAACAGTAGTATTATTAAATTACGCAGCAGGTTTCTATGATGGTTTATTGTGAAAAAACTGAGGGTACTACGTCTCAAAACAGATGAGCAGTTATAGTTTGGGGTGTTGTGTAAAAAAAATAAAAAAAGTGCTGATACCATAGTGTATACGAAGAAGATGTAATCATTCTAATTAATCAATTGTAATTGAACAGGAGGAAGACGACTACGACGTGATGCAAGACCCGGAGTTCCTCCAGAGCGTCCTGGAGAACCTGCCCGGCGTCGACCCGAACAACGAGGCCATCCGCAACGCCATGGGCTCCCTGGCCTCCCAGACAGGAAACAAGCCAGACGGCAAAAAGGACGAAGAGAAGAAGAAATGAGGAACAAACGGAGACTTCGGACGTCGACTAGAGAATAACGAACAGTTACAGACTAATGCAGGATTTCTTACGTGTATATGAAAAGATTGCTGATGCGTCGCCCTGCATGACAGCACTCTGACATTTAATACCATCCCTCTCTGTCAAGACACTCAAAAGCACCAACGTAGATGAAATTCTAAGAAAAACTACAGCATTGAATGACATTTTTTATTTTTTTTTTTGCCCCAAAACATGAATTGATATTGTTGAAAATGTAATCTGGGATTAGTAATGATTCACCCGACAGAGTTTGTGATGGCAGGCTTTTAAACTTAACAGTTAACCACACTCCTGTCAGGTCTTTGTGTTTTTTTTGCAATAAAACCTCTGTGTAAATATGCTGCCTTCAGGTGTGTTTGTGTCCTCAGAGCCTCGCTGTTGACAGATGTGTGGATCGTGATGGTAGCCAGCCCTCGGTCCTACCTTCAAACGGCGGCTACGTGGTGTTTAAAAATAGCCTGTTGAGGAAATTCATAAATGTTTCATGCAATTCCCAGTAGAAATAAATATACGTGTCGCTTGCAGCATCCTCCGTGCATTTTTCCAGCGCTATCACAGCCTGATAGGAGGTCCCGGGTCATGTGACGGGAAGCAAAGCATTTTCAGCTGAAAACGAGCTAGGATAGTCGGGAATCGCATATCCAGGTAAACAATCAAAAATACGTGTAATATTAAAGGAAAATCCCCATCCCTGCCATCCTTTTCTGTGCCATCGTCGACCCTACGATCACCGGGTTGTTACCGCTGTCAAACCATAACCTCAGAAAAAGCGCTCCGGTGGCTTTTCTTGACGGCGAGCGCTAGCTAGTTAGCTAAATGACCCCTCTCTGTCTTGGCTGGAGCTCAGCGGCCAGCTAGCCAGCCTCAGTCGGGGAGGAACATCGCTAGCTCAAAATAACCGAGGTCGCTGCTACGAAGCGCTCCTTCGCTCGCCTCAGACGGCCGGAGAGCCTAGCATGCAGCAAAAGCGTGATTGGAGCGGTGTGTTTCCCCATTCATAGTAAATAAGTGCTGAACCTGCTAGCAGGAGAGGGTTCGGTTGCAGAAGCGCCGTCGTTAGCGCGCTAGCTGGCTGGCTAATGTAAACGCTGCTGAACCTGCTAGCTTCCCTGGTAACAAGCTAACCTGCTGTACTGTGTCAAACCAAGGTGCATGCATTTAAATTTGTAATTTGCTGCAAGTACATTTTAAAAGAAAAAGCTTTAATGAGTTGATTATTTTGCATTAGAGGCGTTGTTAGGTTCCTGGCTCACTGGACGCTTAGCCCAGGCCAGCAGTCTGCATCTGTTACCCTGATAACTGCATCATTTTACAGTTATTTCAGAGCAAAAATGACTATAAAACGTGAGACACTGTGCGTTTTGGAAAAGCCATCCCATTTCATTTCTGTGCTTAGCCCATGATTCACATCAGTACCACAGTGAGTGCAGGCTAGCTGGACTGTGTGCCTCAAAATCACTCTTATTTATGGTGGTTTGAAGCTACAATCACAGTGTGCCTGGGAAATACTTGCTTTCATGCTGTTATTTCAAAATTGTGTGATCAGCCTTGTAATTAGTCTGGGAGAACAGGTGCAGGACAGGTGCAGGCGAAGGAGGAAAGTTCACCCATAAAGTCACATTACACAATACTTAAAATAAATGACTAATAATAATCAGAGCAAATCTGATGACTGTTGCTGGCAAAACATCTGTTCATAGCCTAATCATGACTTATTTACGTACAACAACCTATAATAAAAGGTACTTATTGCCATATTTTGTCAGTTAATTTGCCGATTAGGAGGGTCTCGTGTTATATGTAGTTATGGGGGAGGATCCATACGAACAATAATGTCTCTGCTGCAGAAGAAATGACTTTAGTGGGCAGATCAGATATTTACGAACTGATATCCCAACGTATTCACTCATCTGAATCATGTTATTTTCGTGTTTTTTGGTCAGAATCACATGCATAGATTGTAAAATGCAGATCTGGTGCTTATTCATAAAACATGTAGTGACGGATGCCCCGGCCTGACGACGCCATTGTTTTGCATGTCGAGGTTTTGTTGCCCTTGGTAGCGAGGCGCAGCAGGTAGATGTGCAGTTACAACACAGGCAGATTCATGCTATTGTGTTTTGTTGCTTTCTACTACCAAGTCTTTATGTGTCCACAGGAGTCATTCCCGGTATGGGGGACATGAAGACCCCAGATTTTGATGACCTGTTGGCAGCATTTGACATTCCTGACATTGATGCCAAAGAGGCCATCCAGTCTGCCCCAGATGAGGCCGAGGGGCCCCACGGAGCTGCAAGCGCGCCCCTGGGAAAGCCGGATAGCGTGGTGGGCGTGGGGTCATCCTTGAGACCGCCGAGCCCCTCGGACCCTCAGGCGGACACCTCGATCGTGAGCGTGATCGTGAAGAACAAAGTGCGCCTCGAGACCGTGGATGGAGGGGAGGGAGACGCAGACCAGGACCCCATCGACGTGATCGCGGGGGTCGATGTGGGTCCCCGGCTTGGCGCCTGTGCTCCTGGGATGGCTGAATCGGAGGCTCTCAACCACAACGGTTTCGCAGCATCTGGTGTCTCCACACCGCTTCCCCTGAGCCAGGCTCAATCTAACGGTGCACCGTGGTCCATGAACACCCCCAAAGTGTCCTCAGAAGCAGCAGGTGCCAGCACAGCCAAGTCCCACAAGCAGGGCGGTAACATATTCAACAGACTTAAGCCGCTTGTGGCACAGGGGTCCGGAGATCCGGTGGGTCGGGCCAGGAAGATGCAGCTGCTACAGCAGCAGCACCAGCAGCAGCAGGATACAGGCCAAGAGAGAGCGGATGGAGTCAAGGCGTCGTTACCTTCATCCTCCTCACTGTCAGCTGGCTCGTCTCCTCTGGCTGCTGGAGGACCTGTCGGACTAGCATCGCCTTTCTTTCCACCCTCCAAGCCTCTGCTCTCAACTCCACCTTCTGCTCCCTCGTCACACCCGCTGCACACATCTCAGCCTTTTAACGGAGCACCCAAAGGTGGCCCTGCTGGATTTCAACACCAGCAGATGGAGGAGGATGATTCTGACCCTGATCTGGGGAGTCCGCTGGTGATCCAGGAGAACCCAGACTCTCCGACTTGCACTCAGTTGAGCCGACGTTACAAGTCTGACTCTGTCGCAGCGCAGCCCACGTCCTCTACTGCATCTCAGCCGAAACCTGGGGACACTCCTTCAGGGGCGTCTCTGACTTCATCAACCCCCCAGTCTGGGTCCACAGAGAGTCCCCAGGTGGAGGACAGACATCCAGAACATGTCATAGAGGAGAGAGACTCACCAGAGAGTCCTGAACCGGAGGTGCCAAAATCAACGGCTCAAGGCACGGCTAAGAGATGCTCCAGCCCCGCGGTGGCCTCCACTCCGCCTCCTGCTGAACTAAGGGAGCCTAAAGAGGAGGAGGAAGAGATGGAGGTGGGGAATGGGATAGACAGGGTCGTTGATGGCAAAGCTGACAAGGGAGAAAATGCGAGAACAGGTGATGAAAATATGGAGGTGGGTGATGGTAAGCCCAAAGCCCCGACTGCTGACAGCGGAGAAGCCGTCATCGCTGCACCTGCTGCCTCTGGAGCTCCATCCCGACCCCTCAAAGTCAGAATAAAAACTATTAAAACCTCCACAGGGGGAATCACCAGAACTGTCACAAGGGTAGCACCTAAAGGTGGCGCTGCAGGGAAAGGCTTGGACCCTAAAGCTCAAACTGGGGAGCGGAAGGTGTTAGGAAACAAGGCCCAGAAACTTGAGGCTTCCCCTGGTCACATGACAACAACCTCCCAGAAAGTAAGTGCTCTCAATGCTCTGCCCGTGTCTACGCTGGCAGCCAGCAGCGTCATGCTCGCCGCGGCCACCAAGGTCCAAAACAAAATGGCAGCGTCTGACAAGGCAAAGGTTTCTGCCACTGCAGTCAGCATCACTAAATCTGCTGCCCTGCCTGTAACTCCCGCCGTGGCCTCCTCCCCGAAGTTCTCCGTTGCTGCTGGTGGGATCAGTGTACGCACAGCCACTAACAAAACAGCTAACGGTGGTAGCGGCACCATCATAGGCGGCACCCTTCAGCCAAACAAACCTGCCTCCATTGTCAACAGCACAGGAGCCGTCATCTCCCGGAGTCAGTCGAGCCTGGTGGAGGCTTTTAACAAAATTCTCAACAGCAAAAACCTTCTGCCAAGCTACAAGCCCGACCTGTCGGCTCCTCCTCCCCCTGAGTGGGGTCTCCCGCTCCCAGCCACCGGGTACCGCTGCCTGGAGTGTGGAGACGCTTTTGCTCTGGAGCGCAGCCTGGCACGACACTACGACCGGCGGTCGCTCCGCATCGAGGTGACCTGCAACCACTGTGCTAAAAGGCTGGCCTTCTTTAATAAGTGCAGCCTGCTGCTGCATGCCCGGGAACACAAGGAGCGTGGGCTGGTCATGCAGTGCTCACACCTGGTCATGAGGCCTGTCACTGTGGAGCAGATGATCGGACAGCAGGACATAACGCCAATCGGTGGTGAGTGGAGCTGCAGCTGACAATTATGTTGTTTTACAGGTTGAGCGGTTGTTAATTTTTACCATTAATCATTCAGTCACTTAAATGCCTCACACCAAAGCAAGTGTGCTTTCTTTACAATTTATTGTTTTGTGCCATTGAAGGTTATAATTCAGAAAAGAATACATTTATAATTAGATAAAATGCAGAAAAGCGCAACAATCTTACATTTTTAGGGATATTTGACTATTTTTGTTGAAATATTTGAATATGAAAGTCGCTTATGAGGAATTTTCTGATGAATTCGGTGATATTTGTGGCTGTGAAATGTCAGAAAATGTTTTAAAAAAAAACAACCATCAATTATTGTCATACCTCACAGGAACCTCTTCACATGGCTTGTTTTGGTCGACTAGTAGTTCAAAACTCCAGAATCCTTACTTTAGTCCTACATAAGACTAAAACAAGTAAATTAAGAATAAAGAGCAGATTATGTTGTGTCACACCTTCACTCAATCACTAAACCGATTGTTTCTTTTGATTGATAAATTGCATACATTTTATTGTTATTTGCATAGAGTCATAAAAAAGCCACTAAGATATGAAAACAACACGTGTATCATTCATTTGTGATTCATCCTCATTGACCACGTCCCATTTGTTCCTTTCCCACCTTTGGCTGACCAGGCCTGCTCTCCTCTTCGTCCTCCTCTCCTCCAGTCTCCTCTCCTTCGACCACACCCGGAGGCCCCGCCATCTCCGCCAACTCCAGCCCGATGAAGGACGCTTCGTCTTCGGCAGCAGCTCAGCCTCGACCCGTCCGCCGCGCACCTCAGGGTCCCCAAGCGCTCATGCCTCTGCCCTGCAAGAAGGCCGAGGGGCTGCAGTACAACAACTTCAAATGCCCAGAGTGCCAAACACAATTCTCTGGCAAGGCCGAGCTGGTCACTCACTTCCAGCAGATCAGAGCTGCTCCCAACTCAGTGAGTCCCGCCGATGAGCGCTGAGGATGTGTCGTGCTGCTGGGAACTGCTGGGTTTTGATTTTTTTTGTCTTTCTTCTTTCAGACGTGTACGCAGTGCTCGCCTCCCATGATGCTCCCGAACTCGTGTGCCGTGTCCGCCCACCAGAGGATCCACAAACACAGAGCGCCTCACGTCTGTCCCGAGTGTGGAGGGATCGCACGGCAGGCCAGCTTCCAGACCCACCTGGAGGAGGCCTGTCTGCACTTCGCCAGGCGCATCGGTTACAGGTGCAGAGACGCTGTTCAGAATAATAGATACATCACTGGACTGCTCAGTAATCAGTGGCTAAAAGGTACTTTGCTAGCGTTTAGCCTTTTATTCCTCCAGAAGACATAAAAGACTTTAATAACAGACAGACTGACAACTTTAGTGTCAGGTTGTCGCCTGATTCAGCCCCCGCGACCCTAGTTAGGATTAAGCAGTGTATAGATAATGGATGGATGTTTTAGGACTGTGTGGGAGGAAGCCGGAGAACCCGGAGAGAACCCACGCTGCACGGGGAGAACACGCAAACTCCACACAGAAAGATCCCAGGTGTCCTCACTGGGGCGTGAACCTTCTAGCTGAGAGGCAACGGTGCTAACCACCGAGCCGCTTTGCAGCCCCGAGACAAAATCAGTTCAAGAGAATTCTGTGTTTTGCTATTGATTATAATGGGTCACGCTTTGCTCCATCAAGGTGCTCGAGCTGCCAGGTCGTGTTCGGAGGCTTGAACTCCATCAAGTCCCACATCCAGACTGCTCACTGCGAGGTCTTCCACAAGTGCCCCAGCTGCCCCATGGCCTTCAAGTCTTCCCCCAGCGCCCAGAGCCACATCAGCACCCAGCACCCGACGCTCACCGGAGGACAGGCCAAGTAGGCGCAAACGTTTTCCACCCAGCCGTAGAGAGATATCCTCAGAGTTCAGTGTCACAATATGTGTTTTTTTTTTCTCCCTCTCTTTTGCAGAATGATCTACAAGTGCGTGATGTGCGATACGGTTTTTACCCAGAAACCTTTGCTGTACATGCACTTCGACACTCATTTAGCCAAACAAAAGGTGCACGTGTTCAAGTGTCCCGACTGCACCAAGCTGTACGCCCAGAAGGGTTCCATGATGGAGCATATCAAGGTGCGTTTTTGGACGATTAAATGTGAACTCACACAACAAATCACGTGTCAGCCTTTTGCCTTTATGTGTTGCCCGTTCGTTGGTTTCTACGATGGACGTGGTGTCAACAAAGGCATACAGCAATTCTTGGATCGGCCTTAGCGAGGTTCCTCTTCGGTGACCTTGTCCTAAGTTCTATACCAAGTACAATACTTTAGTGATGCACATGTGTTTCTGTGAGCCTGTTTATTGTAAGAATAAAGGACACCAAGACTTAAGCGTGTAGAAAAAGCAGCGGCTTATAGTTCGGAATTTACGGTATCAAATCAAAGAATAGAAGCTAGCTTATGTTTTTGTGTGGTAGATGGATTTAGTCTGCTCTCCTGTTTTCTGACACCCTCCTGTCGCCTCAGACGGCTCACAGAGGTCCCTCAGCCAAACAGGAGTCTCAGTCCGATGCTTCTAACCCCGCCTCGGCGCCGGCCAACACCTCCGGCCCATCCGGCCTCAAGTCGAAATCCTCCGGAAAACCCGACAACTCCGACGGAGAGGACTGGGGCCGGGAACAGGAGGAGGAGGAGGAAGAGGAGGAGGAGGAAGACGACGACGGGGACGAGGACTACGAAGCTCCGGGTCACTCCGCCGCCGCGGGAGGCAGCAGTCACCCGGCCCAGACCGAGTGGACCTGCCCTCAGTGTCAGACCACCTTCACCGACAATGAGGACTACCTGAGTCACGTGAAGATGGAGCACGGCAAGGTGCTACCACTATTACTTATTTATTCAGTTACATTAAATCCAGTGATTACAGTTTGTCAGTGCACCAAAATGAGCCTTTTATCTATTTGCTAATAAAAACGGAACCAATATAGACTAATAGACTGAGATTTAATCTAATTTCATCTTATTTTTCCCTCCCTGTGCGTTTGTGTGCGCTGCCAAAGTTCCCCTGTCGCATCTGTGGAGGAACGTTCAGCACATCTTCCAGCCTGAGGCGTCATGAGCGGGTCATCCATGAGGGCAACAAAAGAGTCTTCCATTGCCAGTGAGTCATTTAAGCTTTTCTTACAGACATGTTTTATTAACTGATAGAGCTACACCAATAAATATTGATTTATTGCAAATATATGACTGATAAGTAACAAGAAACAGAAACACCAAACTGGGTCTGAGCTCCTTTAAAGTACCTAAATTATGTAGTTTGTCCACCAGAGGGCACCGACAGGTTGTTGTTTTGTCCTTAATGTATGTATAGGTTACCGTTTTAATTTTTTTTTTAAACTCTTAAAAACTCTAAAGGAACATTATATTAAGATTTGTTATGTTTGCTTTTAAAGAATCCCTATTGTTCAGTGTATTATTGGCAGGGTTTTATATATTTATCTGTAATGTCAGTGCTGGATTTTTAAAATGTTTTTATTT